GCACATAAACACATAAAACCCCTCAACCCTAAAACCCAACCTCCAGAGTCTGCATCGGGGCCACAAACCGAGGACTTGGAGGGCGCCTGGCTTGGGCATCTCTAAAGGCTAGGGTTGAGGATTTAGGTTTAGGGTTTAAGTTCAGAGGATGGGAGCAGGTAGAGGTAAGGCATGGGCTGGACGAGCTTGCTTGTTTGCTTCTGGTTGGTGGGAGGGGGGGAATTGGTTGGGCTTTGGGATTCAGGTTTCAGCAGTTTAAAGATTTTGGGATGCAAGGTGCTGGATTAATTCTACTTGTAGGGGGCTTTCTGGGTTGGGGCTGAACTTGCATTCGCGTACTGGAAAGAAGTTGAGGCAAGCTTGTGCCTGCAGGTATCTTCACCTGTCAGACCTTTCTAAACTACATAGGCTTACGCATCGGGTGTTTGGAGTGTAGGGCTGCAGAGCATTGGGAAACCTGGGTGTGCGAGAAATCAATCTTGCTTTGGCCGGAAGAGCTTCAAAAAATGATGATATGGAAAAGAAAACTAGCATCCAGAAGCTGTCAAGCTCACGGTGTAAAGTCGGGCTGTCACTCTACGCTCTGCGAGCATGCGCCGGGACCTTGTGCTGCTCCGGGTAAAGGCACCTGGCTTATGGCAGGAGCTTGGCTGGACATTGCGGACTGATCATGGATGGTCGAGCGGCAGGAAGCAGATTTTGGAGGAACTGTGTTCGAACAGGATGCCACAGGTAAAGTACAGAGCAAGCAGGAGAGCCATCAGGAATTGTGCCGAGGTCCTTGGCCTCAGTAACCCAAGGAACCAAGACCCCCTTATTCGAAAGCCCCCAAAGCCCAACAGAGAGTTTCCTGAAGCTCCTGTACTACTGTCCTGTACTCTACTGTGCTGTGCTGTACTGTACTGTAATGTACTGTACTGTACTTTGGATTAACGGTTGACCACTCGACTCGACGAAACAACACAACCTCACGCACCAAGTCGCTCCATTCCTGTGTTTCTAAGAAGCCGACAAACTTCCTAACCGCAAACTTTGCAATCCTTGGGCCACAAGCCCTCAAAGGCATGAACCGCAGACCCAAACATCCGGAATCTCGAAACCTTCAAACCCGCAACAGTCAAAAACCGAGACTCCTAAACCCGTAAAACAGATCGACTGACACGGAGCGTAACAATAATGACAACAAGAAACAGACCTCACAGCATTATAGCAACAACTGCTTGATGATGATGACGATGATGATGATGATGGTAGTGATGATGATAATAACAATAATGATGATGATAATTATACTATATTATAATGATGATGATGATGATGACGATGATATGAGGATATGATGATATGGTGATATGATGATGATGGTGATGCTGATGCTGATGCTGATGTTGATGTTGATGATGATGATGATGATGATGATGATGCTGATGATGATGATGGTGAAGATCTTGATAATGACGATGATGATGGTGAAGATGATGATGATGATGATGATGACAATGATGCTGCTGATGCTGATGATGCTGATGATGGTGAAGACCTTGATGAATGACGATGATGATGAAGGTGAAGATGCTGATGATGACGATGATGATGATGATGAAGATGATGACGATGATGATGCTGACGATGATGAAGATGATACGATGATGATGATGATTGTGATGACGATCATGGATGGTCCTCATGGTGATCATGATCACGACAACCATGACTATAGAAACCATATCAATAAGGGTGGAGTTTCATTTTTGACCGATTGTTTTCTTGTGTTGGCTGTTATTTTGTTCTTTTTGGCTGGCTATTGTCGCTTTCGCTTCCGCGAGCCAAAGAGGGGCCAAACATAAGTCCGGTGCTCAGGAAACGCGCCAGCAGAGCCATGTATATATTTATCTATGTGTATATATATATATATATATTGTCGTTATACAAATATGCATATATACCATATACCTATATTATCTACTTTATGCTCTGTACTATATCCTATATGCATATACAATATACCATGCACAACAGACTATAGATTCTATACTATATAGTATTTGGTGTTAAACTACATAATCCAAACTATATGCGATATACTATCTACTATGTACTAGTACACAAGTATTTAATACATAATAAGTAGTAGATCGTATCTAGTAACAAAACATATAACGTATAGCATGCAGCATATAGTACATAGTATATAGCATTAAATACAAAGTATTTAGTGAATAAGATGGAAATAGAGATAGATATAGATATAGAAGTACATATATATATATATATGTATATATAATATATGTATACTACTCAGAACCTGTGCAAGTGTGTGTATATATATATATGTATATGACACACAAAGTATAGAGAGAGAGAGATGTGTGTGTCTGTGGCATGGCCGCAGCCGAAACGGCTGCGCACCGACTGGTGTTCCCTTCCGCACCTCCCGGTACGCTTCGCCCCCCTCCCCTCTATCCCGACCCCCCCAGACCCAAAAAGAAAGTGCACATAATAAAAGTCAAAAATAAATACGCCTCCAGTTAGGAGTAATAGTGACAGCTATGAATCGATCAAGAAGCAAAGTAGCGGTGTGAATAGCCCCCGAATAATCAAGACAACGACTCATCATAATAATACCGACAAGAAAAGCTATACACAATGTGATGCTAATAGCAGCAAAGCAGCCATAGCCACAATAACAACAAGAATGTTACAATAACCGTAGTCATAATCACCATCATCATCACTGTCATGAACAACACCACCATGACAATAGCAATAAGAACAACAGAAGTAATAATGAATATAGTACTGACAACATCACCATGACAATAGCAATAAGAACAATGGAAATAAAAAAAAAAATATAATGCTGATAGTAGAAAAACTGATTGTTATGGCAATACTGGTTGTACCAACACAGATCATGATCATAACGACTCTGTCTCAGAGAGCCGACCTCAAAGGGTCGCCATCGAGCCAGATCTGGAACTGTTCCCACCTGCGGTTCGGCGCAAGATAAAGCGAATTAAGCGTGTAAGTGTATAATGTTTGAGTCTCTAGGGGATCTTAGATTTTTAGGCCGTTTCGCTTCAAGACTTGAGGCTTAAGGGTGTAGGTGGAGATCAGGCCCAGGGTTCAGGGTTTAGCCTCAAGAGTCCTGGGTTAGGTTTTAGGATCAGAATCAGCACAGGTTTGGCCTTAAGCACGCTTTTGCGGTTGAGCTGTCGGGTCTCAAGCGATTTACCTTAGACCACGCATGGCCTCCTATGTAACCTCCGACGAAAATCTGACACGCGAAGTATCAAAACATCTGGAGCAATCCCCCAGGCCACTCCTGTACTCCCCAAACTCCAAAGGTACATTTCAGAGAAGGCATCCGGCTTTGGCCGAAAACGCATTGGGAACAGGGCACCCTCCCCCCAAACCCAAAAAGTCGACTCTGAAGGTTGCCAGCTCGTCTGACCACAGTAGGCCTGTTCTCGCCCAGCGTGACAGAGCAGCTGAAAACGCCCTCCGACTCCTGCGCCACAACAGCAGCGTTGGCTTTCATCGTGCTCTGATGAATTGTGAAGCTGCTTCCAGGCTTCTGCTTGTCGGGCACACTTCGGTAGGCCCTTGGTTGTACCCCAATCGTAGTGGAACTCAGGATCAGGGGGGGAGGGCTTTTGGGCCTTTCGATCCCGTGATCCGCATGCTTGAGCGAAACTCATCAAGTCCGAAATATACTCACGAAGCCTACCTGCCCTCCCTAGAAACCCGACACCTCGGGACCAAAATCTCCTGATCGTCGGAACCGAGATCCCCTTCGGTTCCGGCAGTTTGAGGATTGGCTAACGTACGTACATAGTGCGGCTTGATTTCAAGGACGCCAAGTTGAATCCCAAATTCGAAGCTCAACTGGTCCTTCTTCATGGGCTGTGGCTCCCACTCGGAAAAAGTACCTCCAAGCACACAGTCGTCTTCGCTGTTGGATGCTCCCTGAGCCTCGTGCATGCCAAGATCTTCGCACTGCCCTCATTCAACCTGCCCTCTCCCCCGACCCATCTCAATCTTATGTGGCCATCGCTTACGGCTTCCGAATATTTCATCGGGTTCGCCTGCGATGGCGAAATGCTGCTTGGGCATCGAGTCCCCATCCACTTTGCCACCTGCGATGGCAGCGGGAAGCAACAGCTGCCTGTGAAAATTATGTCCTCTTCGGAAAAAACTTTGTGCCATGGGCCTGAAGCTGTGCAGCCCGAAAACCCCGTCAAGCCCGAAGTCCGCGTTCCTCGCAGACCGTGTCGCTGGCCTCCCCCGGGCCAGAAGACCAAGCCGTCCGCCAGGGGCATTGGCGCCGCAGAGTCCGGAAGGTGGCTGGTGTCCTGGATGAAATCGTTCGGGTAAAGAACCCGGGCATAGAAATCATAGAAACCCTGCACTTTGCGGCAGGGTGCTCAGGATTGGGGGTGTGGGGTTTGGGATGGGTGGCTCAGGGTCAAGGAGATTGTGAACTGTGCTTCTGCGAAGTCGTGAAGTCCGGGCTGTACATGTCCAGCGCTTCGAGCCGCCAATATCCTTGCCTAAGTGTGCTTACATACAAACTACGAGACTGCTCCGACTCTGAGAAGTTTCAGGTTTTGAGTTTGCCGTCTCGCAGCTTGGGGCTGAGGGTGAACCACGGATGACACGTTCGAACTGAATCGGTAAAACCTTCGCCTCGATTATTTCTGATCCCTAGGCAGAAGCAAGGCAAAGAGGGCCTTGGCAGCGTAGCTCACGACTGACACGTTGGTGCCACCGAATCCGCGGGAGAAGGAGGTCATGAAGGTCGAGGCCATGCGGAAAGGAACCACCTTCGGCTACACACTTCTTCTCGTGTCTGGGAGCTGTTAGCTTCTTCTTCCGACTTGCTTCAACAAGAGGCCTGCTAGTCTACAGGCACATCTCGCACTGGGGCTTGAGATGCCGTGGGCATCTACCGGATATGCTAGAGCTGTTAGACTTGAGGTTGAGGGCCTAGGGCCCAGGGGCTTCGGTGGATTTCTGAAAAGGCAGCGTAGCGCTGGGGAAATGTCTGAAGCATCAACCAGAGATGTCCTGAGCGACTCCCGGCTCAGAAAGTCTTCTGTGCACTTTCTGCTTCTTTTTCACCACAAGGGGTTTAGGGTTTAGGGTTTAGGGTTTAGGGTTTAGGGAGAACATCAAACCTTCCGCTAGGATGGCATGGCTTGGGTCGACAAAATGGGGATGCTCCCGGTCTCAACACGCTGCGTCTTCTTGCCATGCGGCAGTCGCCGCCGTGCCTCCCGGAAGCGTCCCATCGTCGTTGCGGACCCCGCGCTTGTCTCGGTGTTTCCAGCTTCTCGAAGAGCATGCGCACCAGGACGTGAGTACCCCACCCGCTCTGGCTGCCAGCAGCAATCGCGCTACCTTCAGGTGACCTTGTGAGCATGCGCCACGAAAAGCGGTCTTACCTGTTTCTTGGGCCAATTCCTCGGCAGCACGAGCCTCGAGCAGTAGACGCACAACAGTTGCGTAGCCTTGGACGGAAGCGTGAACCAATCCAGTTGTTCGATCAACGTCAGCCAAACCTGCGTTGGCGCCAGCATTTAACAGAAGGCGGGTAATTTCAACGTGGCCTCTGCTGGCGGCATGGATCAGAGCCGTCCGTTCGAGATGGTCAGCCAAGTCCTTTTGCGCCCCAGCCCGCAACAGCAAGGCCACACTCTCCTGCGTGCCTTGTGAACATGCGCAAATGAGAGCCGTCCAGCCGTCCTTGTCGGCCAAGTCCTTATCGGCCTTGGCCTTCAACAGCAGCCGTGCACATTCCGCATGACCACGCTGAGATGCGTACATGAGGGCTGTTCGCCCCTGACAGTCTGCGAGGTCCTTGTCTGCACCAGCCTGCAGTAGCAATCGCACAACCTCCGTGTGGCCTCTTCCAGACGCGTGCTGGAGACCCGTGGTGCGGTCTATGTGTCTTCCTGGGAAGCAGGAGCGAACGGTAGTAGAACCACCTGAGCATCCCCAGGCGTGACCAACTTTGCACCATCATCCAAAATACTGCCTTCGTGCATAAATACCTGCCGGAATCTCGGAAACCCACAGCACCTCTGCACATCTTGTTTCAAGCTTCGCACAGAACTCACCTCTTCTACGGGTACGGAGACCAGCTCCTCGCCAGCTGCATTCCAGACATGCAGCATCTGACAGCGTCTTCTTTTGCATTTCGTAGGTCGGTCAATTCCGTGGCCCTAACCGACGTTCACCTCGAGCTCTAAAAGTGGCGACTTAAGCTTTTAGGCTAAGGGCTCGAAATCCCGGGCTGCGCACTAAGACGATCTAGTCCAATCCAAGTTCGCAGAGAGGTTTTTGTGTTTAAGCCTGGTCTTCGAGCCCAGCCGAGGATCAATATCATTCGACCGTCATCGTCACCATGGTGACTGTCATCACCATCATCATTCCAGTATTCAGATAGCTATGCTGCTAGTCTTGCTACCTGATGAAAGATTATGTGTCTTCGGCAATATGCCTGTATGCTCACTCCCTTCGGCATTCTAAGCAATGTCCACATGTGCATCATGAACCGAATGTTCCTTTTGAGACTTCTGATAAGTGTGATGTTCAGTGTTGTCAGTCCCTACTGCCAGTCTTCCCATGATTGCTGTGGCTGCCGTCGCTACCATTGCTTTCATCAATGGCGCGAGCATAATTGCTGTGACTGCCATTATCGCTGCCTCTGTCACCAGAATGACCAGCTGATCATCCTGTTTCTCTCACACAGTTTACCCGGTGTTGATTCACTACTGCCCCCTTGTCAACTCACTGCAGGCTGCTGCTTCTGCCACTGCTATGACTACAACGACCACTGCGACGACTACAACGACGGCGTCCACATCACTACATTATCTCAGAAAACCTATATCGAAACTAGTGCTTCTGTTTCTGTTCGTGTCACTCTCAAACTCCGTCGTGAGAAGCTCCAAGCTATCTCTGAAGTCTACTGATAAGAAAAAGGAGATGTTGGCAAGCTGGCCTCCCAAGCCTCCGAAGCCGATGCGAAAAGATCTAAGCCAAAGCAGGCACTCTCCGATTCCGCACGTTGAATGCGAAGCCAAGTACCGCCAAAATGCGAAGACAAATCTCCCAATTCCAAGCGAAGTCCGAGCCGAAGACTTTAATCGACTCTACCCAAAACTCGAACCTTCGAAACACGAAGGCTCCCTAGCACACCCAACAGCAAACTCAAAAACTCTGCAATCTCAAGACACCCCCAAAGTCCACACGAGGAAACACAATCGCAGCGTCCCAACCCCAGTAAGCAATCAACTCTGAAATCCCAAAGAACCAAATACATGCTCAGAGTCCCTGGGCCATTCCCCAACGTCCCGTGGCCTCCGTAACGAAGTGCAAAGGCAGCTCTGAAATGTCCTATAGGCACATGCACAAAAAAGTTTTCGGACTTTGGGTGTAAGTCTTGGGGTTGCGGTGGGTCTGTTGGTGTACAGATTATGTAGAGTTCTTGATCAAGTTTGGGGCGAACCACTGTCGGGCGGCGAGTCCGACGCTGAAGCCTTCAGACCGCATGGAAGCCCCAAGGAAGGACCGGCACCGGGCTATCAGTTGCAGCTGTAGGACGTAATTCGGAAAGACTGCGTTGGGGTTGAAGCTTGCGCTGAACGTCTCCATTGCTGATCTGAATGTGCTCCGAGGAAATCCTTTCGATAGCAAGAACCTCACGGTGTTCCTCTCGCTTTCAGGCTCAAAGCCCATAATAGGCTGTTATTCCGGGCTATCTGCATCCTCAGCTCTGATCCCCGACACCCTCAACCGAAGCCACTGCAAAGCCCAGCGGCGAGGTAAGGATTCGTCTGTCTCAGGTGCATGTTCGGGCCAATGCTTCCCGCGATCTGAGCAGCGAAGGGCAGAGTTACTGCGTCTAGGGTTGTGGGTGATGGTCTGGGGTGCAAGGTTCAAAACTTGAGTCGAGTTTTGACTTAGGGTTCTGTTGCTTTGGGGGCGTTCAAAGCTTGGGCATCGACTCTGAAGGTCGATCACAGTGCCAGATGCCGTGCATGTCTCAGGGTCAGAACTGACCCCACCCCGACAACGGGCATAGCTAACCCGAAAGCTTAATTTCAAGCTCTAGACCACGCGAATCGAGACCTCACATCTCATGCCCCCAGAAACGTACAACCGAAGCCCGAGAAGGTCGGAAGCATCAAGCACTGAAGCCGAAAGCCAGGCGACACTGGTCAGAATGGACTGCATGATGCTGACCTGGCAGACTCGGAGGCGTTGATCAGATCGGGCGTTGAGGGAGTTGGGGGCTTGAAAAGTGCTGGGAAACTTCGTGGGCCTTCCGAACTAGAATAACTTTAGGAACCCGAAGTCGGCTCTGGGGTTCAGAGCGGCGATCAAAGCATGCCAGGAGAACGCCACTGCCTCCATGCTGCGCATTTCCGATGCCGGTCTTCGAAGCCTTGTGGGCCCACCCCAGGTTCCGCATGCAATTAGGGTTGAGGACTCTTGGTTTCGATGTGCCCAAAGAAAGGCATTTTGCAAGCTGTCTGAACTGGATGCCCATTTAGCTTCACGACATCCGCTTCAATCCCTTGATTCCTTACTGGCCCTGCTGCCCAACTACCCAAACCAACAAGCCGCCCATGAGTCGCCTTTCCAGAAGAACCGGGAGGAGAAGAGAAGATGAGTAAGGCCCCACAATTCAACGTGCAATTTTTTTTTATTATGCGGATTTTTTAATACCTATGTTACCTATATAAACAGATATTTTATACTACCTCCGTTGGCTTCGGGCCCGGGCCGCCAAGCCTATTTTAAACATAAGCGGCTCGCCCTCTACCCCTCCACCCCTCCAATGGGGCCCCTCCAACCTTCACCCCTCACGACCCCTCCACCCCTCCACCCTCCACCTTTCCACCCCTCCTGACAATTACGTACTCTTCGTCGTCTCCTGCTGCTCTTCATAGTCATATCTTCAGCTCAACCAACTTTATGTCACATGTCGTCGTCATATATCGTCATGGTTATCATTCACCCGGTCAAAGAACCAATCTTGGATGCATGTTGCCTGCAGGTGTCAGGCCTCTCCCGAACCTGCCTGGATGATCAAAGGCCCCTTGATCGCGAAACGCAAGAACTTCAGGCGTTATCTCAGGAATTCTGCTGAACATAAACAAGGTGCAAACAGAGCAAACGATCCCAAATACCGGCTGCGCGTTCAGAACTTACTCCTTCCAAACATTTTCCAAAGCACAGCTTGGGCTGTGGCTCTCATGAGAAGCGGAGCATCGTCGTCGTCAGCAAGGCGCAGAACCTGAGTCTAGTAGCCCTCCAAGATCCTGTAGAACAAAACTCTTGACTTAAACAGTTAGGATTTCGGGTTGCGGCTGCTCAACCCATTGACCTGCAAGAACAACACTTTAGCCCTTCAACATCGACCCGAGACAAAGCCGAGCTAGCAAAAACTACGCATTCCCCGTGCGGAACAGCTGGATTGACTGGTAGGTCTATGGTCTACGGGGATAAAAGGACCATGGGGTACTAGATGAACACTTCTGATGATGATAGTGATGATCATCCTGATGTCGTTGGTGGTGGCGATGGCACGGGCACTTGTGACGGTGACGGCGACGGCGGCGGTGAAGGGGTGCGGATGATCGTGATGCTGATGACGATGGCGGTGGCGGCGGCGGTGGCAGTGGTGGATGTGTCGGCATTGGAGGTGGTGGGGGTGGCGGTGGAGTGGCAGTGGTGGTGGCAGTGGCGGCGGCAGTGGCGATGCCGTGCCCGCATACATGACCTGGTGGTCATTCTCGTGAAGAGGCAGATGGAAAACCTGCACGCTAAGACGTCAATGAAAATAGCGCATGCTGCCCAACAACTCCATGATCAACACGATCACCTGCACCATCATCAATGTCGTTGAGGTCATCTTTGGCAAGAGGTGTTCCCACCTGCGGCCTGTCTAGTCAACCAGCCTCGTGCATTTGATTGCAGGTTAAACATATGACTCTCCAACTACTCCACAGGATCTTACATTGTTATTGCTCTCGCATGTAAGGTTTTTGGAAACACGACAGAAGCTTCGACGCGAGCACTCGGGGTTTAGGAAGTGAGGAAGCATCTTGAGCCAGGCAACTCTGGAGCAGGAGTTCGCCTGAGCATCCGTTTCTAAGCTCGACTGCCCGTCATGTATGGTGTGGGGCTTGCAATGATTGAGAATCAGGAACCGATACAGCGTAGGGCTTGCGTGAAGTGCATCTAACTAACATCCAAGTGTTGGTGTCAGCAAGCAACAGAGGCAGAACCCGGAGAGAGCTTGATGACAGCCCTTGACTCCCACACTACATCTAGCGACTCGGCAGGCACTGCAGAAACCCAGTGCAACAAAAACATGGGGATGGGAGCCTGCGGTACGATGCAGTTGGTAACGATTTGAGACTTGGGGGTTCGAGCTTCCAGCTACAGCCAATGCTTCCAAAGGCACAGAAGTTCTCAAGAACTACTGCAGCCAGTCACTATGCCCGACACTGTACATGTAGAAATGCATGCAATTATGTTCATGAAGTTGTCTATTCATATTTAGAGAGAGAGATAGTAATGTGTCTTTCCTATATATATATGTAGAGGTAGACAGAGAGAAAGAGTGACACCTCGTAATATGTATACATATATATATATATATATGTGAACTATATATAAACACACATAGAAGACACCTATACCCACAACAAAGCTCTGGGCCTCGACGGGGTCCGCCAGTTGGGAGCCGATGCCGTACATTTCACATCCGTCGATGTCCATGCCTTGCAAAAGAAACCGAACAACATGAC